GGGTTGATATTCTATAGAATTATTCTCATTACTTAGTTCCTTCAACAGATATTTAATTTCCAGATAAGACCTGTAGGGCTCCAGCTGTTGTTGAACTACAAGTCCCATGATGCATTGCAAGACTCTGGCAGCCACAGGCATGACTCCCAGAGGAAAAGGCATGATGGGATTTGTGGTGCCGAGCTTGCCTACCCCCGTGCTATTGCAAACAATTGGGTTGATTTACTAAAGGAGCACACCCCATTTCTTTTGCAAATTTTAATTTATTCATGTTAGGAACATTTAAAAAAAAAATCAATTTTTGCTCAAACACAGTGAAGGGGATTTACAAAACCTGGAGCAGACTGAATCTGGAGCAGTTGCCCATGGCAACCAGTCAGCTTCTCTCTCATTTTCAAATCTTACCTGAGCAAACTGAAGAGAGAAGCTGATTGGTTGCCATGCAGAGCTGCTCCAGATTTAGTCTGCTCCAGACCAGGCGACACCCCACCGTGTCGTCATCGCCCGTGACGTCAACTCGCGTGTGCGCGATGACGTCATCGCACATGCGCAACCCTCTGATTGACACCTGCTGGTGGCCATCTTGGTGATGGATGCCGGCAGAGAGAGGAGGGGACGTTCACCCGGCGGGATGAGGTATGCCGCTGGGTCCCCTTCTCTCTCCTGGCACTGCCGGGCTCTCGGTCCACTGACTTTTTAGAGGGGTGTGACACCAAAATGACTGTTAGTCATTTTGGTGTCACCCCTGCAATGGTCAAGAAAAACAAATGGCAAACGCACTCATCAATTTGTAACCAGCTCTAAGCAAGGTGCACATGGAAGGGCTTTATACAGTACAACAGCAAAAAGTTTCCCAGCACACTCGCCAGCCGGCATGCAAAAAAACTTGTCTCACCGCTAAGGTTAAAAACCGAGGTTTAGATACACGTCTTCTGCAGAAAATGTGAAAGCCGCACCGCCGCGCCAAGGCACCTCTAGATAGTGCGGTGCTAACTCTCAACTATGAGAGTCTCCATCTTGGAGCACATGGATGGGGCAAAAGATTAAATTAGGTGCAGGCTTGTCAAGAGGAAGCCCAACCTCCTTAAAGGCACGGGGACGCACAAAGGACCCCCCCCCGCACATCACAACGGCAGCTGAGACCCCCAATGCATCACTGCACCAAATCAGTCAAGCAAAACAAATGGCAAACACACTCATCAATTTGTAACCAGCTCTAAGCAAGGTGCACATGGAAGGGCTTCATACAGTACAACAGCAAAAAGTTTCCTAGCACATCTTTACCCCTGCAATGGTGTCACCCAGGTGTAGGCCGCACCCCCCTTGTGACCCCACCGGTTATGCCACTGATGTGTGTCCACTTTGAAGAAGATGGTACAGAGCATGTAGAGTCAGATTATAATGTGTGCGTCCATCCTAAAGAATATTGAACGGGGATTGTAGAGTCACATCCATGTGTGTGGCCAGCTTGGCTTGCAGAAGCAGGCGACTGAATAATGACACGATTAGTGCCGGTGATTACAGTAAAGTCGTCCATTACCTTATTCTAACTTCAGCTCTGAGTCAGATGTGTGTGTGGGAGACGGGAAGAGCTGACACTTCTGCCCAGTGAACTGTGAACCGCTTAACTGACCTGACTGCACTTGGAAGACTCTAAAGAATTCCACAGCTGCCAGAAGCCAAGATTTAACTCTTTGGTAGATCAGTCTGATAAAAACACATGTCGAAATCTAGAGAAAAGAGAGTACATGTGCGTTGTATAGCAAGCGGTCAGATCATTTAATTTGCCGTCTAAATCTACAGCAGAGCAGTGACCTGACCGATTGCCGTATGTAACACAGAGACTTGTTGTGATCTTGGTGCATAGCATGTAAGTCCATCAAGGAAAGGTAACACAGGGACCCTTTCACACTTGTGCATTTTCACACCTTGAGGCGCGCCTGTTCATTTGAAATGGCCTGTCATTGCATCTCAAAGCACAAAAAGCCAGAACTGCAGCATTTTCACCATAGCACGCCGCCAACACACAACAGCTGTCTTGTGGTACACTATAGCGCAGGCGCATTGACAGCATTGTGTGCATTGGGGTGCCGCTCTACATGAATGACACTGAAATGAACATGCTACCATGTGTTAACATCTGTTGCGGTAACCTATGGCAACCTATCGCAAATAAATTTGATTTGCATGCAAGCATATTGTGAAGGCGGCCTTGAAGTGAACTTATGGCCAGGCAATAGACATTTAGGGCTCATTCACATGGGAATCGGCCGGCAGGTACAGCTCCGTGCTGTGTGCATGGCCGTATCGGGCAGCTCCCGGCAAGGACATGGTGCTGCGTGTGATTAGTACGCAGCCCCCGTCCTTCTCTATGGGACTACGCGGCTGTACGGCCCCCTACGCTCACCCCAATTGCAGGTCCGGGTGAGCGTAGGGCGGCGTGCGGCCACGTAGTCCCATAGAGAAGGACAGGAGCTGTGTACTAATCACACGCACTTCGCAGGAGCTGCCCGATACGGCCGTGCACACAGCACGGAGCTGTACGTGCCGGCTGATTTCCATGTGAATGAGCCCTAAAAGTAAACTATTTTTTCAATAATAAATCCAAATCAAACAAATAGACTTTGGCCAGAAAAGCATTTCAATAAATTTTTTGCCCAAACAATTCCATCATCATGTTTCCAAACAGCTCCGACTCTCTCAGCTCAGCTTCCCTGAACTTCATGTCCAGTACAAGATCACAAGGGGCAGAGCAGTCTCCAGCAGGAGTCTATCTGCCAACTTGGAGAAGGCGGAAGTGAGAAGTTAGGAGTAGAGGAGTGTCATTCCCTGCCTGGAGACACACATAGCTTACTAGCACCCACAAGAGAGATTCCATAGGACCCTGCAAGGGAAAGGAGTCACCCTAAAACAGGATATCAGGATCAGTGCTAAGGGGACTAGTTTATTCTGCAGGAAACTAACAGGGTTATTCACAAAAGGGTGGAGGGTTTGGAGAAGGCCGGAGAAGTGAACAATCTAAGACGACATAGCTGACCTGGAAAGTGAGCTGAACTGGATAATTTTTCCAAATCAGCTATGTTGTCCTAGATTGTTCCCTTCTCCTGCCTTCTCCAAACTCGTCACCCTTTTATGAATAGACCTGTAAAACTTTTAGAAATCAAGGAGCAGCATCCATTGTAAGTGATTTCATCAGCATTTGAAATAGCTTAAAAACCTTTTGACTTTTATATCACTTTAAGATAATGGAATGATTGCACACAATATATACAGTATACACATATTTCTTCTACCTGGAAGAACAATTTGGATCATATTTAGCACCACCATATGTTTAGTTTTTGAACAGCTACCCCTAGACATCATTGTAATACCTATCCGCAATGCTTGGATAAGTGTTGCATAGAAACAGTTGTAAGTTGCTTCTCTGTATTGGGCCTTGAGTCTGTAGCACTTTGAATTCCATTTGTTTTTATGTTCCTATGAACCATTTTTATGTTCAGTAAGACACTGTTCTAATTGCTGATGAAAATATGCTGGAAACAAAAAAAAGAGAAGACTTTGACCTTACGAGAGTGGGATGACTTTCCGTATGAAAATAGTTCTGAGATGAGTAAGTTATTGTAACCAGATTGTGAGCGCTCTCCACTTCCAGCTGTTGTTTGATCATTGTCACACCCAGAGACATTCGAAGGCGGATTTAATTAACCCCCTGACATGCACAGGGGGCACCAGCTATCCGCCAAGAGCTTGGGACATCCGTAGTTGGTAGGCACAGGGCCCAAAATCTAAGGGTCCATTCACATTTAAGCAATGTGTTACATGAAGGACATAAAATAATGGCACCCACATCGCGATCGGTTCACATCTTGGCGACTCGCATGGCAATTGTGCACAAAACCGTGCGGATTGCCGCGCAGTCAGGAGTCGCCATTGGAGGATTAGCTAACTGTCAAAATTATAATCTGAAAGGTAGTGCCTCTGTAGCGCTTTACCCACTCAAAAAAAGATTGATTCCATTGGTACGTAATAAAAAAAGTGAATATTATTTTCACTTTTTTAAATTATTTTTATATTTCCAACATAGTGAAAACTACAGTGGGTGCCATGCAATGCTATATCTATCTCTTTAGACAGGTCAGGGCCCTCCTAACCATAGACAGGCCAGGGCCCTCCTAACCATAGACAGGCCACGGCCCTCCTAACCATAGACAGGTCAGGGCCCTCCTCACCATAGACAGGTCAGGGCCCTCCTAACCATATACAGTCCAGGCCCTCCTAACCATAGACAGGTCAGGGCCCTCCTAACCATATACAGGCCAGGGCCCTTCTAACCATAGACAGGTCAGGGTCCTCCTAACCATAGACAGGTAAGGGCCTACCTAACCATAGACAGGTCAGGGGCCTCTTAACCGTAGACAGGCCAGGGCCCCCCTAACCATAGACAGGCCAGGGCACTCCTAACCATAGACAGGTAAGGGCCCTCCTAACCATAGACAGGTCAGGACCCTCCTAACCATAGACAGGCCAGGGCCTTCCTAACCATAGACACGTCAGGGCCCTCCTAACGATAGACAGGTCAGGGCTCTCCTAACCATAGACGGGTCAGGGCCCTGCTAACCATAGATGGGTCAGGGCCCTTCTAACCATAGACGGGTCAGGGCCCTTCTAACCATAGACGGGTCAGGGCCCTCCTAACCATAGACGGGTCAGGGCCCTCCTAACCATAGGCAGGTCAGGGCCCTCCTAACCATAGACAAGTCAGGGTCCTCCTAACTATAGACAGGCCAGGGCCCTCCTACTCATATACAGGTTAGGGCCCTCCTAACCATAGACAGGTTAGGGCCCTCCTAACCATCTCTTCAAGTCTCTTAGTCTTAAAATTTTTCCATTCCCCTCTTTCCTCACTTCAATTCTACTTCACATATATTGCATGGCTGCCCACCACTAAAAAGTGCTAATGTGTTCCCGACATGTTTCGCCACCAAACAGGCGGCTTCATCATGGGATTTTGTGTAAAAGGTGCTCTGTGTCAGCACGTAAAAATAAAGCGTCACTTTCGACCGAGTCAGCAGGAAACAGACAAAATTGAGTCTGTGTACGGCCAGTTCAGACAGCTCTTGTTTCGGGAACTGATAAATGAGGACAACACTTGTTTATCTGCAATTCCCCTCAAATACTAATGACCTTATTATCATGCTGTTGTGTGTTGCAGAATTATGTGCATTATGTATAATTTTCCTGTCTGCACTGTGTTTTCTCCCCAGTAAAGTACATGAAGGAGATATCCTCCTTTTTCAAAGGTCCTAACCTTGGTGGCCCAGGGAGCTGGGATAATGTACCGCCAGTCCTGCCACAGAAGAGGGGTTCACCAGCTCTGCCTTCCCGGGATGTAAAGGATGGGAAGAGCATTCCGCTGAAGATGTGTTATGTTTCCCGCACCTTCTTGCCTGCTGACCCAGAGCTCAGGTAAGGGGTTGAGATGTCTGACTTAAGTACAAACTGTGTTCAGAGCTCAGACCAGAACTATGGGTGGATTGGTCTATGGTGGGGTCAAATTATGCTCTACATAAGAGGCAATAGAATGACCTTATAGTAGTTGGTTCCATTCAGCTGGACTTGCTCTGTAATGTTGATGACCTTTCTCCACTCATACAAATTGTTTCCTCAGTTCAGACTTTAAACCTGAACTATGGCTGGGTGGGTCTATGGTGGGATCAAATTATGCTCTACTTAAGAGGCAATAGAGATACCTCATAGTAGTTGGTCACATTCAGCTGGACTTGTTCTGTAATGTTGAAGGCATTTTGCCACTCATACATGCACAGCTTCTTTGTTTCTGAGCTCTTGGATGAGCATTGCATTGTCTTCAACATTACCAAGCAAGCCAAGCTGAATGGAACCAACTACTAAGAGGTAACTCTACTACCTCTTATTTAGAGCATAATTTGACCCCACCATAGACTAAGTTGGATATGACAAATTACTACTAGCTATACCATGGACCTGGACAAATAAGAACCTTCACAGACTGGCAGTAGTATTCACGCATGTTCATGCAGAATGCTATGGAGATGTTTGGAGGCCAAGAGCCAATGTGAGAATCTTTTGATTCTGAATGTGCCTCTTAGTAATAATGGCTTGGGTTGTAGCACTAAAGTTGTCAAGATAAGCACAATACAATAGTTTATCAATCTTTTCCATCTTCATCTCAGAGTACACAATTAATACAGTGTAGAATACATACTGGCCCAAAAATCCCAAGACAGTCCTGGGTTCCATCTCTGAGTTGACTTCTCCAGCAAGCAGATGACATTAGAGGTGTACCTGGATGGCTGATACAGGCAGGATTGGGGTGGATCTATAATTATCTCAGGGATTCTTCAGATGTCAGCATTTCTGTTTGTCTTTTTATGTTACTTTCCTATAGATATCTCGAGATTTGTTCTGCAGACGGTAGAGATGTTCTCTTCCTTCGAGCAAAGGATGCAGGGACAGCCCAGTCATGGTTCAGTGCCATTCACACTAATGTCAGCGCTCTGATGCCACGAGTCCGGGAAGAAATCAAACAGATCCTGGCCAAGGAGGTCAAACACATGGGCTGGCTGACAGAACAGGTAGGAGACATGTCCTGAAGATAGAAGGATTGTATGTGTGTGACATTATGGCTCCTACAGCCTCAGCAAGGATTTGCAAGGACAGACTTCAAAAGTTTTCTTAAAGCCAGTAAATGCAATCACTAAATTACCATATAAGCTTTACTGGGGTATGTTCTCCCCACCAAACCAACAACCCCCCTGGTGCCCCCCCCCTCCCCCCCACTGGCTGCTATAATTTGTAGCTTTTGTGTCCTAGTATTTTTTCGAAGTCTGTAGGCCGGTCTTCTCTAGGTTGGGTGATCCTCATGAATGCAGAGAGAAGCTCCAGTTCCCTGTGAATGAAGGGCACCATTTGACGCCCCCCCCTCCCCTATGATTCCTTGCCCTCACCTTGTGTGCCCAATCTTCCAGGTTGAGTGATGATGGCCATTGCTCAACCAGGAAGACTGAGGACATCATGTGGTGAAGAAGAGGTACTGCTGGGAACAGCTTCAGACTGAAGAGGAGTATTGCAGTATGAATTTTTTTTTTAACAGCGACCTTTTCAAGAAATAAAAATGTATCCTGGGGTTAGGTAATACAATTTCAAAAGTTATTTCAACCCTGTCACGCCCCATCCTTCCGCCTAATGGTTTCAAAGGAGGGGCCTTCCTGACACGCATTGCACAGGCATGGTCCGCCCTTGTCCCCATCAAGAAACTGGTCCAGAGCAATGATGCTGTGCAGGGCAGCTGATGCTAGAGCAAGTGCATGTAGTTAGGAAGTGGCTAGAAAAGGCTGGAGAAGATCATCAGTATTGATATGAGGACAAACTATCAAACAAAGTTTACATTTGTACTAGTTACCACTGTCACTGAAACTGAAAGTGACAGGTAATCCAAAATTTTGAGTTGACAGCAGAACAAGAATAAAGGAGAAATCTTCCAATGTTCCAATGACAATTATCTAAGAGTGGATTTTCCTTTTATTTGGAGAGATTTTCTCTTACTTCCTGCTGTGTCTATAAGACAGGAAGTGGAGGTAAATCTCCCCAATAGGAAACAAATAGAAAACCAATCTTGGGTTTTATCTTTCTCGTACGCTATCCAAACTAAGGTTTTAGATACACTTTAATGAGATATTTTCCATTGTTGCGTGGTAGGTTTGCTGCAAGTGCTGTGCTCGAGGTCCTCTGCTAATAGGCAATATTAATCACCTTCTTTCTCCTGTTCTTGGCTTTTAGCTGCCACCAGAGGGAAAGAGGAACCTTGTGGCCATTCTTACAGAGAAAGATTTCCTCTTGTACAACAGCCTCCCGCACACCAGAGACGGGTTCAGTAAACCAGCATTCTGCCACCCGCTCATTGCCACCAGGTAAGGGGTAAGCCGCATGATACAAATGTATATAAATTGTACCAGGGAATAAAGAGGCCCTGTCATGAATGCATATTGGTAAAGTATGCCCCTGAATTTTCCTACGCTTGTGCAAGGAGGAGTGGTTCTAGTCTTGCCTACGTATTTGTAAAACTATTAGAAAGTGCCGGTTCAGGTTCACTTTAGGGTGGGTAGCACATGCCTTCTGCTTGATTGCCCTCCACCCCATTACCCTGAAAAAGATTACTGCACTGGATCAGAGCCTATACAGGGTTAAGGGCATACCCTCACATGTGTGCCCATGCCTCATGACTGGCTGCTCGGGGATTGGTTCAGGTTAACTTTAGGGTTGGTAGCACATACCTTCTGCTTGATCGCTCACCACCCCATTACCAAATCTTACCTTAAAATCTCCTATGATTAGCAGTCAGAGGCAGCTGTGCCTTAGATCTCACACTGCAGATATACAGCCATGAGGCTAAAGGCACGTGGTTGCCTAGGCACAGAGACTGCTGCTATTCTTCAGGATGACTTTAAAACTATGGGTTCAGGTTCTCTTTAGGGCACATGCCTTCCGCTTGACTGCCCACCACCCCATTACGCTGAGTGAGATTACTGCACTGGATCAGAGCCTCCACAGGGTTAAGGGTACACCCTCACATGTGTGCCCATGCCTCATGACTGGCTGCTCAAGCATCAGGTGCTGCATCTTTTCCCTATCACTGACTTACCACACGTTATTCTGCACGGTATCTTTGTGGGAGACGGCCATGTTGGTAGAGGAAGGCCTTTGCTTATTCATGTCAGAGCCACCCACTTGATGACTGGTGATCTCGTGACGGGGTAATGATCAAGAAGCAGCAGGAGAGATGGAGGAAGTACAGCTCCACAGAATGAATGAAGCAGAAGAAGGGAGATCCTTGCACTGTTGGTCCTCAGGTACAGCTTCCTCTCCAGCAACAGCGAGTAGCACAAAAGTGACTTCACCAAATATCACTTTAAATCTCCTGAGACTAGCACTCAGAGGCAACCGTGCCCAAGATCTCACACTGCAGATTCACAGCTCTGAGGCTGAGGGCACAGGGTTGCTTAGGCACAGAGACTGTGCTGCTATTTTTCTGGATGACTTTAAAGCTAATGGTTCATTAATTCAGGGTACATTGAAATGTCTTGATTTTTCCTTATAGCATGGGAAATCTTTACTTTTTGAATGCAGGTTCCCTTTAAAACTTTGTGAATTAAACCTATTGAGAGCTTTCAGAGCTTAAAGTGTATTTTCACTTTGCAACCAAATTGGAATAACACCCAATTTACATTTGTTACATGTTATCATTCACATTGCATAAGTTACTAAAAAATAACAAAACAAAACCTACAGCAACAACTACAAATTACAAATATTAAAAAATTGCTGCTTACCTTTTTCCTTACTGAAACATCGTAGTTTTTCCCTTCTATGTAATGATAAGGAGGGAGCAGGGGAGTTATGTTTCCCATGATAAATCCTGCTTGTACTGTGCTGGCAGATCTCATCAGTTATAAACAAGATGTGCAGGATTGTCTGTCCTATCAAAGGGTTAAAGATCTGAAGGCTTAGGCGGTACATTGTATGTTAATGCAAATTTTAAATAAAAAATTATTTAGCTGTACATTGCCACTTATTCTAAGCAATAGAAGCAGGGGCGTAACTAGAAATCACAGGGCCCCATAGCAAAATTTTGTATGGGGCCCTGTGATTTCTAGTTACACCCCTTGAAGAGCCCACATAGCTCACCTGAGGGTGACCCTGCAGAGCCCACCATAGACTCTATGGTGGGCTCTGCAGGGTCACCCTCAGGTGGGCTGGTCACACTCCTTACCTGTCCGCCTCTTCTTCCGCCGTCTTCCCTCCTCCGTCGCCGGGCACGCTCCGTCCTCCGTCCCTCGCTACGCCACTGAATACAAGCTGCCTATAGGGTCCTATATATAAACCTTCTCCAAAGAAACAACTAGAAACGTAAGTAGTATTTATTTTTTTTTTTAAATAATTGATGTGAAGTATGCTGTGTGAATGGGAACACATAACATATATATAGGCATGTTCTCTAATTCAACTGAAAAAACTCAAAATACGTTTTTAAAGGTGCTTCTACTATTACTTGTCTTCAAATAACGTTCCTGCCACCTAGTGGTCATAAGGGATAAGTGCACCACCAATGGCATGAATATGAATGACCCTTTTCAGTGTGCTTTAATATTAAACATGCCCCTAGGTGGACTGCAGGATTGAAAATGTTAACTATATTTATTCAGTGCCTAGGAGCCTCTAAACGTTGTGGGAATACACCTCTGTAACAGTGAAGTGACTATTTCCTTTTCTATAGTGATGCTTTTTTACATTGTTATACAAAGTTATAGGTATTGTGCTTCCTTAAAAATAACCTTTATCGAGAACACTCAAATTCAACAGTGATATCTGCAGTTTAAAACGAACACTGATATTATTAAAACAAAATGGTCATGGCCAAAATAATACCCCAAAATCAGGTTCCTGGAAAATAAGAGGTATTATAATTATTTCCCTGGTGACCCGTGTCTCCTGCCTCCACTTGGTGAAGCTCTACAGACTCCATCAGAACCTTCATTTGACAATTCAGGGAGTGACGGATGCCCATGTCCCCCGCCCTGCGCTGTGGTTCCATCCTCCGGCCCCTAGTTTACCAAGTAGGATGGAACCTTAGCGAGGGACAGAAGACATTTTTGGAAGTGTCAGATGACGCAGATTCTGGCAGAGGCTGTAGAACAGAGGGACAGTAGGAAACCTGGGCCACCGGAAAGGTAAACACAATACGACTTTGTTTGCAGGGACCTGCTTTTGGAATTTCTTTTTACATAATAGTGTAGATTTAAATACATACATGAGATGATATTTTAGCCAGGGTCCGTATTCTAAGTATCTGTACAGGTTTTAGGAATACTGCTATAGCCTCTGTAAATCTGCAGCTCACCATACACATTACAATCTGACTGTACACTCTGCTTTACATCTACCACTATATAGCGCAAAGGCCTGTTTGATTGGCTCGGTAATACAGCCCCCATTATGTGTATTTCATCTCTGTATAATAAGCTTGGGGTACAGCTTTAATAATTAAACAGAGGACAATTATCACTGTATTTGTTTCCAGATATAAAGTGGTTAATTTGCTATAATGTTTCTGTCATCCTTCACAGGCTTGTACACTCCGGGCCCCCCAAGAGTTCACTGCAATACGACACAGAGCTGGCCTTTGCTCTTCGCTCCGGCACACAGAAGGGGGTGGAAACTCACTTGTTTAGCGTGACAATGCCTAGAGAGCTGGCGGAGTGGACCCGGGCATTAGTAGATGGATGTCACAATGCAGCTGAGCTTATACAAGAGGTGACTACAGGTGAGACAAGTGCAGCTAAAAACAGCCCACACGACTTTTTTATGTTATATTAATCCCTAAAATGCAATGCATATTACTCCAACCATTTTGTATTTAAAGTGCACCTGCATGTTTCCCATACTAGACTTTGAAGAGGGATCCTTTGTCAAGTTGGGCAGGAGGAAAAGCACTGACGTCTAATGATCCCTCCTTTAAAGTCAGTCTGTATGTTTCCATACTAGGCAAGGTAACAGGATGGCTTTAATGGAGGGATCTTTCATCAAGTTGGGCTGGGAATAATGTACATAGCCCTGTTGAAACTTACACAGGAATCTTGGGCAGTCTGGCAGCTGGGGAATGCAGGCAAAGTAGGCACTGACTCCTATTGATCCCTCCTTTAAAGTAAACCTCTATGCTTTCCATACTAGGCAAAGTAACAGGTTGACTTTAAAGGAGGCACCATGAGGAGTCAGTGCTTACTTTTCCTGCATTATCCAGCTGCCAGGCTGCTCAAGATTCCTGTGTAAGTTTAGACAGGACTGTGCCCATTACTCCCAGCACAACCTGAAGAGTGACCCCTCCTTTAAAGTCAACCTGTTACTTTGCCTAGTATGGGAAACATACAGGTACATTTTAAAGGAGGCATCATAAAGGGGTCAATACTTACTTTGCCTGTATTCCTTAATTGCCCAAGATTGTTAGTTTCAACAGGTCTATGCACCTTACTCCCAGCCCAACCTGATAACGCTCGGGCATGGTGATTGGTTTGCTAAATCGTTGAGTGCTGCGTTGTCGGAATCAGGGGAGTGCCACATAGTCTTCCATCAGAGGATCACAGTTCAGATTGCTTGGTGATTGGTTGCTAAATCATTGTGTGCTGCGTTGTCGGAATCAAAGAAGTGCCACATAGTCTTCCATCAGAGGATCACAGATCAGATTGCTTGGTGATTGGTTGCTAAATCATTGGGTGCTGCGTTGTCGGAATCAAAGAAGTGCCAGATAGTCTTCCATCAGAGGATCACAGATCAGATTGCTTGGTGATTGGTTGCTAAATCATTGGGTGCTGCGTTGT